CAACCTTTCCTCAGCAGAGAGGTGCTCCAGCTCCAGCTGCAGCCCTCGGCATCCCCCTGGCCATAGCGGTGCCTCTGCCTCCCATCCAGACTGGTCCCTCTCCCAGGGTGGGCTGTGGGAAATGAGGATCTCATGTGGGAGCTGGTCCATGGGGTCAGACATGCTGCAAAGTGGCAGTAGCTGCAGGAACCTGACATGGAGAACAGCCCTGGTCTGAAAGGACGCAGGGATGGCATCTCCCCCCTCCCCGTGCTGCTTCCTCTGCCGCGGAGCCAGCGAGTGCCGGGGCTGCCGGTGCTCCTGGAAAAAATAACCATCACACCTTCTAAATAAAGTGAAACCAGTAAGAGATGGAGCTGCATGCTCGATGTTAACGTTACTTCCCAGTGCATTTGCCATGAAATTATTGCTAATTATTCATCCTGGCTAATGCTCAGTTACTGCTGATGGCCTTAGAAATGGCAGGGCCGCCTGAGTGCGCTGCCTGAGTCACGGCAGCACGCAACGTATTACAGCAATAAACACCATCACATTCTGCCATTTAATGTTAGTGTTTAATCAATGGTTGGGGTGTTTTTCCTCTCTTTTATTCGGCTGTTTTGCTTGGGTGTTTTCCTCTGGCTGGGCAGGAAGAGCCGGCAGCCCACAGCGGGCTCTGCCTGCCTGGCCGGATCCTCACTACTGTGCTTTGCCTTGGCGGCTGCCACACCAAGCACGTGCTCTTGTCCCCAGTTGGCTAATGAATGCTATTAATGACGATCACATCAAGCTGAAATGGCCCTGACATCAGCACTGTGGGTTATGTAGGGTGAGAGATACAGAGTGGGGTTCCCCAAGGGGCACCCGTCCTGCCTGGCCCCTCTCCCCCCCACCTCCACCTCCTCTGAGCTTGTTTGAAAATGTGTGAAATGGCTCCAGCCTGTCCCTGGCAGCTCATGGTCACAATGGGCTCTGCCACCCGTGGGTCCCCAGGGACGATCACACCTCTGGGTGTGCCCACCTGTGCCCAACAGCCCATCTTAAATCAAGAATTTATTGAATTTTGGTTAAAGGCAGGGATTACAGGGAGATAATGAAGCTGTCCTCCTTGCTCGCTGCATCAGTGCCCAGCCAAGGCAGCAGGAGTTTTGCTGTCGACTTGCTGGGTGCAAGGACAAGCCTTTCCTGGGCAGCACAGACCTCGTAACGCCTCATGCACCCCAAAAACCACCCACCCATCCTTATCACACCCTGCTCCAGCCAGAGCCATCACTTGTGCTCAGCTCCAGGGACTGCTCCCATTTCCAGTGGATTTTCTCCAGCAGATTGAAGCCTCTGGCTGGTGGTTTGTCACCTGGGCTGGTCCAACCCCAGCCTGGAGCTGGCTGTGGGAGCGATGTCTGTCTCGGGGTGACGCAGCCCTTCCTCCCCTCTTGGCAGTGTTGTGCCCACGGAGTGGGAGAACAACCACTTGGGCCATCACTTCTTAGGAACAGACAGATTTATTTATTGCAAGATAGTCCCAGGACCAGCTAAGCCAGCCCAACTGGGATGGGCTCAACCTTCGGGCATCGCTGCCAGTTCACAGCCACTGTGGAGTTGTCCCCGTCAGCTCTTGGGGACCGCATGTGTCCTACAGCGCTGGATTGACCCCAAATTCAGCAGAACAATGTAATGTGCCTTTTCCAGGATGTGAGAGGCAGAGACCCCCTGGGCACAGCCCAACTCTGAGGTGTCGTCACCCTCAGTGCCGGGGGGATGGAGGAGGAGGAGGAGGATGAGGAGGAGCAGGGTGCGGGGCAGGCTCTAGGGGAGAGTCTCCTCCTCGGGCAGCGTGTCGGGGCTGGAGGCTGTCGGGGGGATGGAGGCTACAGGGGGTTTGTAGTCCGCCCCATGGAACACCTGCCCCTCCGTGCCCGTGGGCTCAGCGCAGGAGAGCGCACAGTCCTGGCTGTGCCGGCCCCGCCGGCCGAGAGGCACTCGCGGCACCGCTTGCCGATCAGGTAGGTGGCCTCGATGAGGCTCAGCACAACACAAACGCAAGCGGTGACCACCATGAAGAGGGTGAAGATGTTCTTCTCGGTGGGCCGGGCGATGAAGCAGTCCACCACATTGGGGCAAGGAGGCAGCTCACACTTTACAACCCGGGGCAGGGTGTAGTTCCTGTAGAAGCGGTAAAAGATGTAGAGGAAGACCACATCCACACTGGCCTTGAAGATGAGGCTGAGCAGGTAGGTCCACCACAGCCCCCCTCGCTTCTTTCCGGGGTTGGCGTAGATGCGGTGGCAGTTGTCCCTGCTGGTGGCACGGTACCTCTGCTCCTT